TGGTTTTTAATATACTTTATCAGCTAATCAGATATTTGCAAAATTTACCTCCCAAACACATATTTTTTTCTTACCTCCTACCTGTACTATCCAAACTTCCACACCTTGATCTGTAATTGTGCAATGTAGCCATCCTTTAAAAGATGAATTTAAATCTCTAATAGCTTCCATGCATGCCAATTAAGAATTGTCTTCAATTTCAAAATAGCACACTACTGAGAAGCCTGCAAAGAACATCAGTATGCTGTTCTGACTTCCATAATCTGTATTAAAGTAACTATTTAAACTTTTAGTTCTGTGTCATATATTGATTTCTTAATTGAGCCCAAAACATTTATTAGTTTTTATATTTGCATTGGATTTAAGTCTAGATTTTTTCTTCTTTATAAGGTAAGACTAAAAGTCATTTCTTCAGAAGTCAATTATTTTATATAGCAGAAAAAGGTGAAGACACCATAATATTGTATTAAGACCCTTTGTTTGCTCTCTTTTAGCCCTTATTAGGATTTTGGGAACTTTAAGGATCTAAATTTTCAAAAACTCCAAGTTAGATTATATTGTGCCTTTCTCCAAAAGACATTCATTTTGGAGTATAAAATTAGACAAAACCAGGTGTTAATGGTGGGTAATTTTCTCTTGTTTTAAACAATGCTAAATATATACATATATATTGTTTATGTGTGCTCACACAGCACTGATTATCTTCAGTAGTGTAGAGAGGAGACCAATGAATTAGAAGTTAGGAGATGTGAGTTCTAATCCAATTTCCACCACAAATTAGAACTCATATAACTCATTGACTTCTTTAGGCGTTGGGTCCCACTGCTGTAACATCAGAACATTGAAAGAAGTAACTTTATGCGCGTTGTTTTTGCAATGCGTTGCATGTATGTGGACTGCAGGGTCACTCTTGCCAGAGAAAACTACATCTTTTGATTTTAAGTTTGTACTAATATTCTTTCTTCACTGAAAAGGATAATTAAGTGTTGACTCTTGGTTATAAACAACTCTGTTTCCTCTGCATGTATGTATGTCCTGTCTCTCTAGCCATTTTATAAACATTGAAGCCAGTAGTCATCATTTAAGTTTTTGCCTAGACTACAGCCCATCTGTTATAAACTATAAAAGCCGAGTAAATGTGTGCTAATGGTCTTACCGTAAGTCCTGTAGGAGCATTCTCCTTACCCCATTTACCCAATTCCGCATTATTTCCCTGATAGCAGAGAGTCATAGCAGTCATGCTGCAAGTTTGATGATGGTAGAATGCACTCTTTGCTTGGAGAGTGTGTAAATATACCTCATGGGTATCATATGTTTATTAATGTGTCGCAAGTCGCTTGCTTCCTATTAGCTCTTCTCAGTAAATAGAACTATAGCGTTTGTTTGGATGATACTTTATTTTTAGCTTTTTAAATCACCTTCTGATGAACAGAAACAGTAAAGAAGTATTACAACATTAAAAGCAATTTGAAAATAGTGCTATCCTGGGAAGTCTGGAGTTCTAGACAAAATCCAGACACTTATAAATGAGCAGTCATTTCACAGAGCTGGGAAATAAAAATCAGAAAAATAAGAATACCTAAGTGTGCTCATCTGGAGCCACTTTCTGAAGATTAGGGGGTCAGTTGCATTATAGAAAGAAAGAGGTGGCGACTAAGGTGGGGAATTTCTGTTTCCTTCAACTTTAGTCATTCTTTTTTGGCCCACTCAGATACTCCAAAAGAAAAATGTAAGATCTTATCTGGATTTTCATGCTTTACACTAATTAGACACCAAAGAACTGCAGGCATCATCCATGGTGGTAATTTCTAATTACCTGCTGAACAAACACGGTGTGGCTGTACTGCAAAAAGAAAATATAAAGGACATGGGAATAAAGGACACAGTGATAATAGTGAGATCTAACACATTACTTAGTGTTCAAAGACGGGCACTGTTCTCAGCTCTTTGTGTATTTTAATGTTTGATTCCGGCAGCAGCCTATGGTGTCTTTGGTATTATTTTCTCCTTATACAAATAAGAAAATGAAGGCCTAAGATGTCAAGTAACTTTCCCTATTTTTCAAAAATTAATGATAGAGCTGGAACCTGAACTCCTCTTGTTGGGCTTTAGAGTTCTTGTTCTTAGCTCAACCCTGCCTATATATATTTTAAAAATGTCATATTCAGTACAAAGAGGTGAGGTACAGACAAAAAAAGTAATCAATAGTTCGAGGAGAAAGAAAACCTAAGCTTTAGTATCTAAATACTTTCTGTGGGACGTTCAAAATTAGAATGTACTGTTTTATTTCTCAGAGAGGTCACTGTTCTTTAAAAATTCGAATGTGTTCTACCAATATATATTATTTTAAAACCTAAATATTTTCTCAAGATGCTTATGAATGTGCCCTAAAATAGATAATAGCTTAATTTAGATAATTATTTTTTCTGAAAAAATTTTGCTACAATGATCCTGGAAAGAGCATGATCTAGTATGTACGGGAGTAAAATAAATACATAATGCATGAGCGATACTGGTGTATGAAGCTCATGTTCTCACTCATAAGTGGACCTTGGACAATTATTGTAATACTATAAGAAAAAGAATGTCAGTAGTAGGAAATTGCCGGGAGATGGGGGTGGCACTGGCAATAGTGGGATTCTGTCGGGGTGGGGAGCACACCTCATCAAGTCATCAACAAGGTTACTTGCATAATGAACATTTTTATACTTAGCCCTGAATTGTAACCCACATCTTTACAATTAAAATTTAAAGAAAAAAGTTTAGCACATTTTCTTTTCTCTCAAAGCTGTTTCTTTCTCAATACTTTTCATACTGAAAGATTGACTCTGCCTTTTGTATACTCAGCTGAGAAAAAAAATTCATCATCTTGCATACCTCTCTCTTTCTCTCGCTTCTTCTCTGTTATATTGACTCAATGTCATATATTTTGTACAACATCCCTCTGTTCTATTCCAATGTACATTGCCTTTATTGAGGCGAGGCTGCCATTTTTGTGAATGAATGCAGTTGCTTTCTGTTTCACTGCATTTAGTCTTCCTTACAATCAAATCCATTTTTCTCATTACAATCAGAAAAACCTTTTCAAGATTCAAATTCCACCATTTCCCTACATAAAGTCCAAATTCTTCAAAGTGGTTTACATGGCTTTCATTCTTAGTCCTGTGGACCTCCTATGTTCTTCATAATTAACTTGTACTCCACCCACTCCACATTATTTTCAATTCCTTAAGCATACCAAATTATTTCACGCCTTCCATACATTGTACAAACCATTCCCTAAAATAACCCTTCTCTAATTTGCCAAATCCTTATTCATTCTAATGAATAAAACAGTTCATTTTAACTCTAAGACAATTTAAGTATCACCATTTATGAAGCCTCCTTGTTTCTTTCTTTGAAACCACTTGGGCTGTTCATTTCTCTTTGTAGTATTTATCATATTCAATTTCAATTATTCATTTATATAGTTTTTTTCTTATATTGTGAAGGACTTAGGACAGGACATATGTCTTATTCTAGCCAAATACCTGAGCATATACTCTCTGAACTTTTTTCAGGCTTCTGATTGACCTTGTTTAATGTCTATTTGTTCCACCAATTAAGTATTTTAGAACTACTTGTAGGGTAGGTATTATAAGAAGCTAGAGATATCTACATTCAAAAAAAAAAAACAACAAACCCTTCTCATCTTGTGGAAGTATTCTGTTACTCCATATAAAGACTAATAACCAAACTAGTTGTCTTCTGGCCACTCTTATTGTGTCATATTAACATTGAACAGAAGCAAGAATCTAAATAAAAGAGCTGCTTAACCGTGAAAGCATCTTAGCTAATTCAAAAAGAGGACTTGCGGTCTGTGGCCCATATGCACAGATGCAGAGCAAAGAGGACCCAGTGTCACTGAGCACCTGTGACAGGCCAAGCAGATTTATTTTTATTGTCCTATTTAATACTCAGACAAGTGCTATCTTACCTGAGACTCAGAGGGACTAAATAGCCCAATGTTGAAGAGTAAGCAGTGAGACTTAAATACAGGAATTTGATGGCCTAGTACTTGAACAAGCAATTGGGCATTTACAAAATGAGAAGTTCCCTACTAAACTTTAAATCCAGTGTTTTATTTATCTCTTTATTCCCACTAACATGCACCATGCCTGATATGTGAACGGTGTTGATTGAAAATCCTGAGACTTCAATAGCAAGCAGAAGTAGAACAATTGACACAAAATTTTTATTTGGTCTCAATTCTTCCAAAAGATCTCTGAACATGATTTATATCCTTATTACAAATTGTAAACGTGATTTAGGAACAAAAGAGGGGAAAAAATAAAAAAACAAAACCAGATGTTTATGTAGTGATCATATTCTTTAGACTATCAGGATTGAGTTGTCTTTGTGTAACATAGTACAACGCTTCTCTCTGACAACCTGGAATCCGGGTTCTAACCCAAATAGATATGAGTTGGTAAAGATAGTGACGTTGTAATAATTTTATCCAACACTGTTTTCTTCTCCAAATCAATAACTAATCCTCTTACTAAGATAACTAGTACTGTAAAAGTGTGCAGCATTATTCTTGTCCTTCCATTGTGATTAATAGGTTACTTATATTTTTTCTACTTCTCTATTGAATTTGCTAATTTTAGCACAAACTGAGACTTGGCTTTCTTCCTGACCTAAATCTTACTTTACAAAAAAATCTTTCTAGGTACAAAAGCGTCTATTGAACAATATTCAAACTGAACCTGAATATAAAGCAAAACTTCCCCGCCCCTTGACAAATAAAAATAAATATACAGTTGGCTTCATAGAACCAAGCATTGTTTAATTGGTTGACAAGAGAGAACCCTGTGAAATAAGCCAAAATACCATACAATGCGCTGAAAAATTGAGTTGTTGCTTCTCTCTCTGTCTTTTGAGTGAATTAAACACACTACCATGGTAGCACTTGCTTTTTGTTCACACCAGGTCACCATATTCATTCTACTTTTTTACAGAAACTCTACTTACTGCATGAAAGTATCCATCTCACTGACAGTGGGTGAAAATGACACCGGACTCTGCTACAATTCCAAGATGAAATACTTTGAGAAAGCTGAACTTAGCAAAAGCAAGGAAATTTCGTGCCGTGACATAGAGGATTTTTTACTACCAACCAGAGAACCTGAAATTCTTTGGTATAAGGTATGGACTGTGGATGGTTTTATTCCTATAAATTGATGAATATATATCTTATTCTGGAGCAAACTGGATAAAAAAATTAAATTGGTGTGATGTAGTTGAGTTGTACCTTTCTAGAATACTGCAGCACATTTTGCTGGTCATTCTGAGTTTTCTCACCAGTGGTTTTGATAAATTCTAATCAGTATCTATATTGGTAGCCCATTGTAATAAGCTGTTATGTTTATGTTTTTATCTTTATCTTGTTTACATGGACAATTATTTCAAATATATTATAGTCTGGATTGGTAATTTCAGGAACTAAAATACTTTGAACTTTCACTTTAGATTTCTTCTTATTAACGTTTCAAAATATCCCCAAACAGGGAAAAAAAGGATTGATTTTCTTCTGTGATAAATAGGTACACTAAAGTTTATGGAATGCTTTATTTAATGGACATGATTTTGTCCATATTCTAATCATTTTCATACGCAGACATATTTTAAAGAAATAACATTTGAGGAATTTGTATAATATTATAAAAATCATGTTAGCGTAAACTTTCTTAAAAAAACAAAAGGAACTTTAAACTTAAATAGAACAATTCAACCTCCATCTTTCCTATCATATTATTGACATTTACTGATATTCCAGATTTGAACATAATTTTAAACGTATTTGTAGCATAAAAGAAATTTTTGTTATTCAACATTCTCAAAAGATAGAAATGCTGTGAAGATTCCTTTTGAATATTTTTGTATTGTTTAAAGATCTTTATGTAACATTTTCTTTGTCCAACTCACTGAAAATAGGACCTTAAGAAACTGGGCCTCTTAGTAACTAGATCCACAAATGTCACTATGCAGAATGAGCCCTCATGACTGATTACTGATAAACTAAAAAAACTTTGTAAATAAAACAAGAAATAAATCTTTAAGAATTTTAAAGGATTTTGCCAAAATAAGCAATACTATTCCCTATGTAAGATTTAATTTCAATTCTCGATAATAGGAAATGAAGATTTCAGAACATCAAGGGAACTGTTGAAAGGTTTATCTACTTATCCCTTGTTTGGTTTTCTATCTTAGATACCGTTAAACAAATTCAAATATTAGCCCTACTGGTTTATATCCTTGTGGGGATGAATATGTACTTTTCTATTTTTTTAAATGTTGAAGTATTTCTCATTCTTGATACTCTGTGGTTTGCCTGCCTTCCACAGGCAGGTTCTGAGAGAGCCCTAGCAATTGCTTCAAGGAAAGTGGTATTAGGGGAGTTTGACCCAAGTTCTCCAAAAAGCCACTTTTGTTCTAGTATTCATAAGTGGACATTCAGCTTCTAGATATGCAGTTTCTTTATTGTTCACTAATAATTTTATTTTAAGAGTTGTCACCTTTTGCAAACAGCATCTCAAAACATGCTGAAAGATGAGAAACTATACACAATTTAAAAACTGACTGATCCTATATTCATGTTTCCACCATCACCACAATCAAATAGAAACTAGCAAAGTGGTGGGTGGAGATGCAATATATGTGGACTTTTAAAGTCTTATAACATTTCAGGTTATTTTTCCATAGTCAGAGCTTAGATTTTACAGCATATATAGCTGAGATTTAAAGGCTACTCATAAAGTAAAATGCTAAAAATTAATTAGTCTGGCTAAAAATAGACTTCATAGATTCAGTGTACACTTTATGCAGTTATAAAAGATCATGCAACTAATATAGCATACACAATGTGTATTTTAGTCTGAAATAACTAGATAATTATCCTCTAATTACACAAAGCATTGAGCCACATAAAATAATGGTCTGCAGTCGGGCTCGGTGGCTCAGCCTGTAATCCCGTGCCTTTGGGAGGCTGAGGTGAGTGGATTGCCTAAATCCGCGGGTTTGAGACCCGCCTGGGCAGCGAGACCTCATCTCTACAATAAATCAAAAAATCAGCCGGGCGTGGTAGCGCATGCCTGTAATTCCAGCTACCTGGAAGGCTGAGGCGGTAGGATCGCCGGAGCCCAGCAGGTGGAGGCTCGGTGACCAGGAGCGGCCACTGCACTCCAGTCTGGGCGACAGAGTGAGACTCCAACTCAAAAATAAAAAACAAAAATAAATTTAAAAAAAAAATGGTCTGCAAAATTTTGATTTGGCAATACAATTTTTTAGTAATAATATTACCTCTGAAAAGTGTCAAAGGGTTTAAAGCTGTTTTATCCTCATTCCATTGATTTCAAATCTGGCTGGCGGAAATGGACTTTTGTTTTGGCAAAAACAGAAATCTCCTGAGCCAATGTCATTATGGTCCAAAGCTCAATTCAGAGACTATAATTTGGGAGGTCTATCAACAATGAAAACTGATATTTATGGGACTATAAAGACCTTGTATATAAATGTTGACTGTTTCTTTCATGGATTATAGCAAATACGTGCTATAAAGACACTTAATTTTCAATAAATACAATATTAAACTATTTCAATATTGAAATAGAAGAAAAAACTCATTGTCTACTTTTCATTAAAATAATACATTTTACATTTTATGTTATAAATTTCAATATGATTCATTTTGCAATTATCAAATGTGATGTATTTGCTTCAAAAATAATGTCAGGAGTAGTCTTAACATATGTCTCTGCTCTTATATCTAATAGATCAATGCATACCTGGTATATAGGCACTCATATTAGAAGTTAATAAAGTGACTCTTTCCCAGAGATTTGGAGAAGGAATGAAATTCTTAGGCATTAATTTCAAGCTTTTTAGTTTCTTTAAAAATCATTTAAAAATTTTTTGGTTTAGTTATTTGAATTGCTATTCTCTATTTTTCTGTCATTATATTCACTACCAAAATTTTATGTCCTTTATGTAGGAATGTAGGACAAAATCATGGAGGCCAAGTATTGTATTCAAAAGAGACACCCTGCTTATAAGAGAAGTTAGAGAAGATGACATTGGAAATTATACCTGTGAATTAAAATACGGAGGCTTTGTTGTGAGAAGAACTACTGAATTAACTGTTACAGGTAACCACAGTCTTCAATATTTAATTTTCAACTAATGCAACAACTATTTTTAAGTTAGTTTTTGTGCTGTATATTGATTTTAAAAAAATCTCTGCAATGAAAGAAGTACTTAATCAAATGCTAAGTGGATTCCTATAGATGAAATTTATTTCTCTTTGCTCTTGAATAATCTACCACTGAAATGCATTTGAAAGGTTAAAGAGAATTTGTTTAGAGAAGTATAGAAATGTTAGCTTTTGAAAGCACTTGACATAATGAGTAAACAATTTCCGAAAATTATGCTAGTATTTTGTAGTGGTATAATTTATGGAAACATTCTCTAGAGTGGAGAAATAGAATAAATGAAATCTACATCTGTCTTCCTGTCTTGCTCCAAATTAGAAAAATCACTTTTCTCTTTTACTTATTCATCATTCTATGAATCTGACATATGTATCTTCATGAACTTGAAAATAGCATAATTTCCAGTGCAATCATCAAATAATCATGTGCAATGTGATGCATGGAATCATTCTCATCGTTGGTTGCTAAGGTGAAAGGACATAAAAACAAGATTCAGAACACTATCTATAATCATGAATATAAAATTCACTAGTCCCATGGCTTTGGTGGAATCACTACAGTCTTCAGAACATTAGTTTTTTATGTATAAATTGATGACGATAAAATGTGCCTTGTTTATTTCATAGGGTTTTTGCAAGGATCAAATGAAATAAGGTAATATATATGAAATGAATTTGCAAAATGCAGAATTATGCCTAAATATGCATACCCTGTCATGTAAAAATTGTATTCATAATTATTTTTTACTTTATAGTACAATCCTCAAAATGTAGCTCCATGAGAAAAGGAGGAAATATGAGCAACATTAGGAAGTTAAAGACATTATTCTCATATTCTTATCAAGAGCAGTCGTTCTTGGTGACTTTTTTTGTACTTTTGAAACATATATAGTCTATAATACTCAGTGATTTATTACAGAAACAAAGATCTGAACACTACACATACTCACTCATAAGTGTACCTTGGACAATATTATAATACTGTAAGAAAGAGATTGGCAGTAGTGGGACACTGCCACGGGAAGGGGAGGCATATAACATCAATAAGGATACCTAAACCTTACCTGTACAATGACCAGTTATGTACCTAACCCTGAATTGTACCCCGAATCTTTAAAATAAAAATAACATATAAAAAAGAAAAGCATAAAAAGACATTAACTATTTTAATTAAAGTTATTTTTATTTGTTCAGTTAAGTTAGTTTTGTTTCTGTATATAAGAAGAGTTTTGTGATATCATTTATATCTTATAATAATCAATTTTTAAAACATATCTGGCTATACTTGCATTTCCATACAATAAATATTAAGTTTTGTTTTTTGACTATCATTCAATTTTTGCTCTCAATCTGTTCTGAAGTAGCTTTTTGAAGCAGTAGGTATTGAGACTAAGGAACTTCAAAATATAAAGTAAAGCAGGGTATTCAGGATAGGAAATAGAACATACTTCTAGTCTTTATTCTTCAGAGTTTAGAACTAATCCTCAGTAATCCTTTCCCTTTTTCAAGACTACTAGCACTCTAAACCACTATCCAGTATGAGATAACTGGAGTACAATCTCATGAAAACTGGACACTGGGTTTCAAATGGTAAACCTACTGAAGAGGGGGACCATAAAATAACAGAATTATTTTTGGAAGGCAAGCCCTTTGTAGTACCAGCTTCCACTGCTATACTAGTGGTCTAGGAACCCATCAGCATCTGTGTACCAGCTAGCATTATGAAAGACTATGTTTGACTTCAGTGAATTATTTTTGGAGATTCTTTCAGCCTGTTTGCCCGGTTCACGATGGGTGATTTACAAGAACACCTGCCCACACGGCACCAAATGTTGATCAGTTTTTGATGAAACATGGCATGATCCCGTGCTTCACCCTCCCTATTTACCTGATCTCACACTGGGTGTCTTTTTTCTTCTTTGTTCTGTTGGAAAAAAGTCCTCAAAAAAAAATTTTACCAACATGATAGAAGTGAAACAAAAAACAGCAGAAGTACTAAAAGGTATCAAAATGGACAAGTTCAAAAACGGGTTTGAGGAGTAGGAAAAGTGTCTTAAAAGGTGTGTTGCATCAAACAGAAAGTACTTTAAAGGTGACTAACATTTAAACATGTAAGAATAAAAATACATTTTTTAGTAAATAAATTCTGAATTTTTGGGGGTCTCCTTTCATATATAAGGCTATTTCAAAAAACCAAGAATAGAGCTTTTTTCTCCTAAATGCTTTCCAGGGCTACTGTACTTTTCAAAACTACATTTCTCCAAAAATTATTTTCTTCATATGAATATGAAGAATAATTATGCCTTGATATCCAAGAGAAAGTTAATGAAAGTTTTAATGAAAGTTTTCATTCAACTGATTACCATCAACTGATTTCTATAATAAGTAGCCTTACTTGAGAGGCTGATTTTGGCAAATTAATTAGAAAACTAAGTTTGACTATATATTTGAGGGAACAGAGAGCTGTGTGTCCTAGAGTGAAAAGGAGTATATATTAAAATGCATATTAGGTGTCAACAAGTTTATAGAAAAGATATACTTAGGTATAGCATTGCTTTAAATGTTGTGACACTATAACACATTTACTTTGTGGCCAAATTAGAGAACAATTCTTAGATCCCTATCTGTATTCCCCAGTAAAACAGCAAAGATGAGCAGTTTCTGAGTGTTAATGAGTCATTGTTTTGTATCATGTTTTTCTGAAAATCATTACCATATTGTACTTAATTTAAACATTATACAACACATGATATTGTTTAATTTTGTGGAACTGCCTTAACTGATAATAAACAAATATTTTGAAGTTTGTTATGATGTCACTTTAAAAATAAAAAAGGAGGTTGGACATGATGGCTCATGCCTGTAATCCCAATAATTTGTTAGGCCAAACTGGAAGATAGCTTTAGGCCAGGAATTCAAGACCAGTCGGGGCAACATAGCAAGACACTGTTTTACAACAAATAAAAATAAAAAAGAAAGAACCCATATATGGAAAGGAAATTGCTGGCTAAACAAAGTGGGTAAATGTGCAGGTAATCTTGTGAGCATTTATGGGTGATCCTACCGTTTTTGAGAGTGTATGTGCCTAATTAAGTGAAGTACTAGATCAGGAGAACAGATCACATTGAAAAGCGTTATAAATCTGCTCAGCACGTTTGGTATTTTAATTATTCTCTTATTTATTTATTTTTTTAATTTGAGATGGCTCAGTATTCTCTCTGGCCTCCACCAGCTTTTGTAAGTCTAAGCCACATTGAAGTTTTTAACTGTTCTTTTTCAAATGTCCTTTCTTTAAATCCTTACTCATGGTATTCTCCCTCTGGAAGGCTTTTTCTTCCTTATTGTCACAGAGCTGATTCATTCTTTCCTCTCTTCCTTCCTTCCTTCCTTTCTTCCTTCCTTCCTTCCTGCCTCCCTCCCTCCCTTCCTTTTCTTCTCTTCCTCCTCCTCCTCCTCTTTATCACTGTCATCATTGTCAGCAGTCTTGTTCTACTCTGTCACCAAGTCTGGAGTGCAATGGCAGGAGCATAGCTCACTGCAGCTTTGAACTCCTGGTCTCAGGCTATCCTCCCACCTCAAACTCCCCAATAGCTGGGATTATAGGCATAAGCCACCATACCTGGCAATTCTTACTCTGTTAACAAAAATGTTACCTCCTTTTGGGACATAACGTTATTGATGATTCCACAGTACTTTTAGCATCCTTATTGCAGCACTTACCTTGCATCATAACAGTTTGTTGACATTGTTTTTTCATAAGAATGTGAGCTACTTAGAGGCAAAGGTAATGTCTTTTTAATTTTTAAAAACTAAGCATTAGATTTTTATAAAGTTTTGGGTTTTCAGGACAATTGCAAAGATGATATAAATCCCATGTACTCCATATTGTTAACTCTATTAATAACAACTGATATTAACATGGTACATTTGTTATAATTAATGAACTAATTTTTTACATTATTATTAGGTGAAATCCATAGTTTATTCTGATTTCTTTAAATTTTTTCTAATGTTCTGTTGTCATATCTCTTTAGGCTTCTCTTGGCTGTGAATATTTAAAATTTTTAATTTTTGATGACCTTTACAATTTTGAAGGATTATTTTGTGGAATACTTTATGTTTTGGATTTGCTGAATTTTTTTTTTATGATTAGACTAGCATTATGTGTTTTGGGAAGAAAGACCAAAGAGATAAAAATCACATCATACTATCAATATGACTTATCACTGTTGAGTTGACATTACTCACCTCAGATAGTATTTGTCAAGTTTCTCTGTTATAAAGTTATCCTTCCTCCCCCTTTTTATACTGCACGTTTTGGAAGGAAGTTACTATATGCAATTCATACAAGTACTTAAGGAGTGAGAAGTTATACTCCACCTCTTTGAAGGCAAAGTATACACATACATTGTTTGTTGTTCTTCTACATGGGGCATGTGTCTATTTCTGCACATTCATCTACTTATTCAATTATTTATTTAATATCAGTATGGATTCATGAACATTTCTTCTCTACTTTGGTTTATAATACAAATTACCTTATTTATACTGTTCAGACTGTTACAGCTTTGGACATCAGGGGCTCTTTTAGTTGGCTTATTTTTCTCTTTGACATACACTATTGGTATATGTGTGTACATATGTATGTGTGTGTGTGTGTGTGTGTGTGTGTGTGTGTGTGTGTTTGAACACTTCCTTAGTTTCTGGCCCTCTGATGCATTAACATGTAGATCATTCTTGCCTCTTCTTTTTGCTTATGTGTAAACTTCTAATCCAATAGTGAGAAAACTGGCTCCCACCATTTGCTATACATTTGCTTAATTCCTCCCTCCCAATATAAATATACAGTGAGATCAGAATTTGTTAACCTGTATGTATGTGAAATACAGCTTTATCAACTCGAGTATATACAGTTTCTTTAGCTTTAGGTTTCCTCTATTCATTCCTTTTTCTTTACCACCCTCATTGAGGGT